CACATTTACCACTTCTATGGGGCACCACAACGCATTATCTCAGGTAGAGGGGTCCCATTCACGTCAAAGTTCTGGAGAGCTTTTCTGGACCTCCTCAGAACCGAGCAAGGATTTAGTTGTAGTCACCATCCGCAGGCAAATCACGTGGCCTAAATTCAAATCCCTGCACTGAGACATTTTCCAAAGGACTGGACACTTTTCAGAGAACATAATCAATTTCACGTCAGAAGCAAAAAGGAAAAAAAAGTTCCAGAAAATGTGAAAAATGTGAAAAAAGGAGGTGAAGCAATGTGAAAAAAGGAGGTGAAGAAGGAGGACTGAGGAAGATTTTGTCCTCGCCGTCTGGAATCGGGCTTAACAAAGCCCTCAATACTCTCAACGCAACTTCAAACCAGGCACAATTTGAGAAAACCATCAGTTAAATAATTGCAGAGACCAACTATTGAACAAAAAAAACCAGAGAGATGGAAATTCCAATTTATGAAAAACTTCCTGACCTTTTAATGTACAAGGATCCAAAGTACAGGAGCTTAACAATAGAAAAAATTTAATACATACTTTATAAACAACATATTTACATCAGAAATCACTTAGACAGTGGCAAATTCCTTTGTCACAAATATAAATTAATATTAATTACTGTATTTAGTCATAGGGATTTCATTGTCCCTTTAAGTCCATGACTTTATGCACCAGAGCTCTTCTGCCCCAGATTTTTGGGGGAAAACGCAACAGTAGGGTTATCGTAGCTGGACCACTGGTAGAAATCCAACAGCAGCAGAATCTTTTCCTTCAATTCTCCAATAAAACTTCATAAATGCGTCAAATCAGGCACAAACCCAAATTTCATAGGCCACCCTCCCACTAACATTTTATAATTCCCAACCCGGTCAAGAATAGAACATACAAACATTAGGGATTTATTATGCTTACAATTTCATTGTAACGATACCCCACCTAAAACTATCGGCCCCAAATGTATTTCGCCCTTATAGGAACAAGTCAAAACTTAGGAGTGAAACAGTAACAATTCGAATTAAGTAACGATCAGGAACATATCAGAACTTAGGGGTGAAATAGCAACTATTCTAATTAAGTAGCAATTAAGCAACATATCAGAAATTAAAAGTGAAAGTGCCCACCCGAAAACTATCGGTCAAAGTATAGAATTGCCCTTATAGGGACATGTCAGAAATTAGGACTGAAATAATAACTAATTAATTCTATTCTAATGAAGGAACACATCAGAAGTTGAGAGTGTACACTTCTTAGGGACAAAATAGCAACTAGTCTAATTAAGTAGCAATTAAGCAACATGTCAGAAATTAAAAGTGAAAGTCTCCCACTTGAAAATTATCAGTCCAACTATATTTTGCTCTTATAGGGACATGTCAGAAATTAGGGGAGAAATAGTAACTATTCTAATTAATTCAATTCTGATTAAGTAACAATTAAAGAACCTATCAGAACTTAAGTGTGAAAAACTATGGGCCCCAAATATATTTTACCCTTACAGAAACACTAGAATTTGGGAGTGAAATAGTATCTATTCTAATTAAGTAACAATTAAGGAACCTATCAGAACTTAAGTATGAAATAATAACTATTCTAATTAAGTGACAGGAACCCGTCATAGCTAAGGTATGAAAGATTTGTTCTAATTAACTAAGAAGATAAAGTTCTTGGCTTCCCAGTTCTGTTGGACAGATCTGGAATTCAATTCGTCAACCTCAATTCAAACCATGTAATCATAATAGGACCTTAAACTCCATAGTGTCTTTTCTACAATCATAGTTTTGCAGGTGGGAGAGAAAAAAAGAGGAGTGCATGACATACTCATGGATGGACACAGTTATGCAAACATACAACAGGCCCCTCTAGAAACCTAGAAAAACGGTCTGATTATTTCCTTATTATTTCACTGGTTACCTTTTAACACTTAAGGAACTTGACTTGGCAGTGGAACTCTTTTTATCAAAAATTATGGCTCAGAATTGTTGCTGGGGTCACAAAATTCACTCGAGAGGTGATAAACTCGGGGATGCTACTCACAGAACTTTTCAGCATGTATTTTTGGCCATTGCATTTTTAAAAGCAATAATTTAACCCAAAGAAATAGATTCAGGGCCAAGTCCGCACACATGAACACACGTATACATTTCAGTGCAGGGAATATATCCGTCGAAGTTGGGGTTTGTTTGTTTTTTTGAGATGATGCTGAGAAAGATCATCAAAGTATAACTATGACTCAGATCTTTGCCACCGTTGTATAAAAATTCCCTGTGGGTCAAAACTCCATGTTTCCCTTCACTCCATGAGAGGCTTCCTTCATCTTGCTTAGTTCGTTGGTTCCTTTCTGTGGATGGCAGCCATTGGGGTTTTTGAACCTTCCTAACCAGAAGTGCTAAATTGACCATCTTGGGATGTTCAAGGAATACTGCCTGAGCTGGACCCCTCCCTCAGCTCCCTTCTCCAAGCCGCATCCCTGGTGTTCCCATGGATCATGAGGAGAAGGAGAGGAAAAAACAGGAGCTCCACAGTCAATTTCTGAATACTGAAGTCCCCCAGTGCTGTGGACATACTGTCCTCTCCTTCACAACCATGGAAATGAAAGTTCTGCCTTCATTTAAAAAGTGTTCTTTGTCCATATAGCACTGCTCGAAGTCCCAACGTTGCTAAGGTAAAGAAAAGCATGGAGAACAGAAAAGGAAGGACGAGATCACAAACCATCCCTTCTTCTTTTGTTTCGTTTTCTGGCATTCTGGCAACCTTAAGTCCACAAACTTGCAAGTCTCTTGTCTTCGACAAGATTTCCAAGCATTCTCGCCAAAGGTTGGCTTCACCGTTCTCTAATTCAGTCTCGCTCCTGCCCTCCCCAACGCCAATTTTTTATTCAACTACTGTAGTTATTGAGGTCTTCTCTATCATTCCCCTCCAGCAGCAAACTGAACCTCAACTCCAAAGGGGTGTTCGCTTTCGTCTCCATCTGTATCCTACGCAGCCGTCTGTCCATTTTGTGAAATGTGCAGAACTCAAGTTGGCATTGCAGACACAAACACTAAATCTTCATTCCAAAACCTAGGGGGAAGACTTGACCTTGTTCTCTACGGGTCCCTTGGTGCCAGTGAAGACCACTCCCAACGTTCAGCCAGTGTACTGACGGGAGGCAAATTTGGGTCTAAAATTCAGGCCCCTTGGTGGGTCCTGTTCTTCTGACCCACCACCAATTCTTACAGCCCAAAGCTCTACAGCACGATATTCAGGCTTTCTGGTTCCAGCATGGATGGCCCAGTAACTGTTGTTTCCGTGGGCCGGACTAGCACTTTCCGTTGGCCTCTGCTTCTGGGCCTCTAGGTTTTCCAGCCACTCCAGTTATACTCTGGATTGTTCTTCTGCTCTAAGGGCCTATCCAGAGGTGATCGGTGCTGGATGGGAGACTTGACACCAATTGGAGATTTCTGAGAAGCTGGAGAGCGAGGATCAGCGATCTGGGAGTGCGTAGGGGGAAGGAGTTGCTTGTAATCAGCAGATTTATCTGGGTGGAAAGGCCTGTAATGGTCTGAAGGCCCTTGCCCATGATAACCCAAGGGGGGTCTATGGTCAGACATCCTGCGGAAATCTTGTTGGTAATTCTGGGACCGGAATTCATCGATTCTTCGTCTCTTGGCATCATGGTAGTATCTGGAAGAGAAAGAAGTAATCAAACATTCAACTCAAATGAAGAGGCAAAATGACCGTATCTTGGGATGCTTAACTCCCTCTGGTGCCAAGAGTCTGGAAGAGAACAGGAAAGCCTCTGCCAGCCCAGTTCAGCAGTATCCCCCAGGAGAGAGACTAGAAGAAGGAAAGAAGATTGACAAAAGAAGAAGAGTGACAAAAGCCCAACTGCTTTGCACTCTGGATCATGTCCATGGAGATTCTCAGTCATCCAGGTCATAGTTATCCCAAGGATGCTTTTTCACGAGGCAACTGGAAAGTCTGGTGGCCTCGTGAAAAAGCATCTTTGGGCTAACTGTGGGTCATGATATCACAAATGCTTGCAAAAGGTTGTCAGAAATCATAGACTCATAGGGCTGGAAGATCTTGGAGATCTTCTAGTCCAACCCTCTGCTCAACGCAGAAGACTCATACCATCCCAATCAAATGGTCGTCCAGTCTATTTTTGAAAACCTCCACTGGTGGAGCACCCAGAATGCCAGTAGACAAGGTAGTTGATTTAATTGTTCTCACTGTCAGGAAATCTGTCGGTTGGATCTTTTTTTTAACGAACTTTTACTCATTACCATCTCTTCCATAAACTAGACATTTGTTGGCATAAGATGGGCAGGGAGATCAGGCTTTCGAGATTCTGTTATTATATCCTACAACAGTAGAGTTCCACTAGTCCTTGCCATCTCTGCTCTGTGATCTGGCTGACAAACACCACCGCTTTTGGCATGATGACTCCTGCAGAAGCCCAACAGTGCTGCCAAGTGGCCTGCATATCACCTCACCTGTATTCACGCTGCTCCCGGTAATCTCGTTCACTGTTGTACTGCTCATACGGGCGTTTACGAGAGACGTTGCTTGGCCGGTAGTTTGCTGAGCTCCGATACTGTTCTGCGCGCACCTGGCGATCCGCATAGTGGCGCTCCTTGTACCAGGGCTGCTCATATGGGTAGTAACGGTTTCTGCTCCAACTTTGAACGGCGTTGCCACTGTAATTAAATTTGCGGTCCCTCTGCCACTCGCTCCGTTCTGCATGACAAGGAGGGGGAAGAAGGTAGCACTCTTTTCACAAGAAGCCCAAGGATCTTATCCACTTGGACTTCATCATCTGTACTCCACGTTTGTCTATCATTCATTTGATTTTTATTACCTCTTTTTTAAGAGAACCAGAAAAAGGAAGAGGAACAGTAACACAATAATAATGTCAACCTTGCAATGGACCTGGCCGAAGCCATTTTCCTTGTCTCCAGCTACCATAAGATGGGGGGGGGGGGGAGAGAGAAATGGGATATTTTCAATTAGACTGAACATTTTTCTATCCCATGGGAACCAAGGTCATTTCTGTTTCCCTCAGAAAGGCCACCTGGATGTGTTATTGGGGAACGCAGTTGATTGCATAGCCAGTGGGGTGGGCCTGTAACTTTGTATTACTGTTGCTTTTGGGAAGGGATTTTAGTCTTGGTTTCACTTTTGACCGTGCCGATACTTTGTATCCAATAAACATGTTCTCAGAGGAAACCTCAAGCCTCGGAGTTCTGTTTTATTTGGCCTCATTTATCAGAACCATGACAAATAATAGCATTAATAGTGGGAACAGCCCATCCCGAGTTAAACTGGAAGGCCCTTGAACCAGGTGGCCCATATAGTTCCAGCAAGGGGATCAAGAGTGGTCATGCATTGCCACCTCCCCCATCTCAGGATGCAAGATGGGACCTCAGGAAGAAGGGAAGAGCCTCTCTGGTGTTTGAGATCATCTTTGTCAGATCTGCCCTCACACTGCTTCAGTCCTGCATCACTTTGATGGCAGCCTGCCCTAAAATATGGGGAGGGGAGATGGCAGGATGCAGGAAGGGAAGATGACAGGAACCAGAAATGCCAACCAGAGACAACAGCTGAATGATCCAAGGACACAAGCATGGGAAAGGAATACGAATGCCCACCAAAAGAAGCACCAAACTTTGGGAATTGTTACCAAAACACCTAATTTGACCCACATTGGACACTAGCAAGGTGACCAGGGGGAAGGGCTTGGGAGAAAGGGAAAATTACTGGGTTTATGCTGGAATCCTCAGATCTAGCTTTGCTTACACTGTCACCACTTGCCTTTAGTAAAATTACACCTTTCGCTACAAATGGAGTCAAGAGTTTTTCTTTCCTAAAAGCTCAAGCTGGGACAGGCCTGACAACCTCTCACCTGTGTTGCAGAAATGCCTTCTACTTGACTGCTTGTAGTTCTCCCGTGGATGTCCATGCATCTGGGGAGGGTGAGGAGGTGGCTGCTGCAGCCTCTGAGCATGAGGACTATGGGGGACAGGAGTCATCTGAGCATCTCGACTGGGCCCAGGAGCATCTGGACGAAGGGGCCGCTTGCCGCTCGTTGCCTCTTCCTTCTTCTTCTGTTCCTGCCGAGCAGAAAGACATCAACGGGATACTCAAAAGGCAAACACTGACAATTATATGAGTTTTATTAACCAGGAGCGGTGGAGGAGGGAGGTCCCTGGAGAATATTTGAGGGCCTCCTCTAGAAGAAAGGATTAAACAAAGAAGAAGTGAAAGCCTTTAAGGCTTCTCTCCTCCCACCCCTTCAGTTGTGACCAAAGATGCCTTCATCATCAAGGTTTGCTAGGCCAGCCACTTTTGGCACCCCAGGGGCCTCCACAATTGTACTTGGCAGGCAACCTGAGGAAAGAGTAGTGCAAGTCCATCAATGGAGACAGGACAGCCACTTGTCTGAAATCATATGGGGTCTCCTGCCTGACCAGGGGGTTGGGCTAGAAGACCCCCAAGGTCCCTTCAAGCTCTATTCGGATTGCTTAATAAAGAGATGATTCCAGCCAAAGGAGCTACATTCTCGCAGAAAATTACAGTCCCATCAAGGAGTCTCACAGAAGACACCACGGCTTTGTTCCCCAACCTACGCCCCCCGAGAACTGAAGGCTACCAATCCTAAAAATAGGATTTTTCCTCCTCTCTTCTAGAACCCAACTTCTGGCCCTTAAGAGAGCAATGACTGAGCGAGGAGCAAAAAACAGAAATAGGAATAGGAAAAAAAAAATGCAGAGTCCCACCTACGAGTCTCAATCACAACTTCCTCCAGTTCCTGAGGTTTTCTTTTGCACAAGATGTTCCCTTTCTTTCCTTCCCCTTATTTATATTTATACCTCTTCCATTTTACCGCACAACACAAACATACACACAACCACACACACACAACTCCGTCCTTACCGCCAGTTCCCGGGCTCGTTTTTTACTAGCCATCTTGTATATCTTATGCAATTTTTTGGCATTAAATTCAGTAAACTTGGATACAAACACCCAGAGATTCCTGGAAAGAAGTGAAAGGGATATTTTAATTTTCTCTTTTTACAAGCTGGGCCAGAAGCCCGAACTTCTCAACCCACAGGAAAGACACGCCCCAAACAAGGCTAGGAAGCAGTAATGATGTTTTATTCTGGGGGGGGAGGGCAAATCCCTTCTTACATCCCTTCTGCTTCCAAAAATGTCTTGCTGTAAACTTGAGTCGTGAAGAATCCTGAGATAAAGTCAGCAGATTTTGATCTTAGCATGACATGATCCAGTCCTCTACCTCCCTTTACTACTGCAAATGCCTGTCTCATGAGTTTTCTAGGAGTTTGGACTAAAATGTGTATTTTGTTTTTAATACTTCAATGTATTTCCACATAGGGGAATTCAACACAATCCAACAATTGGAGACTGCATCTCATTGGCAGCATTGTCACACCTTTAAGTGTCAAATCCCTCAAGGAGCTTGGGACAACCGAAAGACTGGAAGTGGTCACGGGAATTCAAGGGGAGTTGGATTGTTTGTGGCTGTGTAGAGCTTCTAGGCTGCTTCCTCTTTTAACTCCATCCCCCAGGTTCTGCCTCTCCTTCCTCTACACCTCCAAACTTAAAAAGACACTTGACCTGCAGATCTGATTGCAACATCTGGAAGGAAGGGAGAGAGAGAGATTGAGATTGAAGCTTTGGTGGGCAGACAGGTTACCTTCTCCATACATTGAGAACTTCCTGTTCGATGTGGGGTTTCAAACATTCAGCAATGTGGTCTCCTATCTTGAGCAGGCAACTCCGAGTTTGCTCCAGCTGCTCGTGTTCTGTAAGTCCTTTTTCTGGCTTATCCAACTGCTTCAGGGCCTTCTTGACTGGCCTCATCTGCTCTTTGCACTTGGGAGACAGAAAAAACAGAGGTCCACGTTAGTCTGGCAGCAGAAAGGAGGAAGAGGAGAGGGAGCCCTAGATTTAGGCAAATGTTTGAGGCTAGGCACCCATTTTGATGGGGGAGGTGTCTGCTGTGGGTATCCTCTCAAAATGGCAGCCACAGAGGTCTTCCCCATTCACAAGTCACCAAGCTGTAGGAAGGGCAACTTTTGATTTGGAGGTCCTTTTTTGTATTCTTTTCTTCCCTCTTCTTCTTCTTATGATTTTTCAACTTTCCCCCTTTGATCACCATTCCCTATTTTTAAAACTTTTGGGATTGGTTAAGTTGGTTAAAGATCAATGACCAGCCCTCTTTTGACTTTTCCCCAGTGGTCCACCCCATTCCTAGAGAAGACTCACAATGGTGAAGGTTGCATGGTCCAAGTCATCCTCTTCCTCTTCATCAATGGGGACAGGCTCGTTTCCTGCCGTGATGTGGACGGGACCCTGAGCCAGCGTCTTCTTGCCTTTGTGGCCAGATTTGGCCTCGTTGCCTTTGGGCTGTGAAAGGACAAGAGGAGATAGCATCCCTCTAAGCAGCAGCACAGGAAGGAAAGTCACAGACATGCCAAGAAGGAAACGGAAGGGAAAAAATATCAAGGGGGTTGAGAAACTGGATTCTGCTGCCTGGATTTTCCAGGCGATTTCTTTGCCCCTAAAACAGGGTTCTCCATCTCTGTGATAATAAACTAAAGGTAGAGGTTTCCTCTGTCCAGTCATATCCAACGCTAGGGGACGGTACTCATCTCCATTTCACGGCCAAGGGAGCCAGCGTTGCCCAAAGACAATTTCTGTGGCCATGTGGCCAGCATGGCTATATGCCCAAAGGTGCACAGAACGCTGTTACCTTCCCACTTGAGGGGAACCTATTTATCTACTCTCATTTGCATGCTTTTGATCTGCTAGGTGCGCAGGAGATGAAGTATATGGTATATGAGTAATTTAAAGAGCCTATATAGCCAGATATGAAAGCATCATTCAATACATGCTCAAGGATAGCCAGTTGCAAATTGTGTACAAGCAAGATAGTTGCAAAGTCTGTTTTGGTGACCTCACAATCAATCTATGAGTTGTCTTCTTCTGAAATGTTTTTAGACTTCTCAGCCTAGATCACAATCTGGGGAGGTCCTGATGTTCTCCCACCCTATTAACCCAACCCAATCCTTCTTAGCTTCCCAGGTCTAACAAGGACAAGCCAAAGCATTCACCCTGCCCAAATGTCTGAAAAATGGAGAATAGGGATGTTCTACCCATAACATGAAGTTGGTCATGGCTTATTCACACAAACACACAGCCAGGTTACCAGCACACGTATGTGAATTTTGTTTAAAATCAGCAATGGCATGGCCACCAAGACAGGTTAACACCAGTAGGTACCTGTTCTTTTTTATCCTGTTGCTTTTTATCCTTTTCTTTCTTCCTTTCCTTTTCCCCTTCCTTTTCTTGGCTTTTGGCTGGCTGCTTATCCTTGTTCTCTTTCTTCAACTTCTTTTTCAGGGTATTCTTATTCACCCCGTCCTCCTTTGGGGCAAAACATGTGAATGCGCACAGAGGACAGAACATTCACCTTACTCTTGATGGAGGGAAGGGGGCAATGTATCTTTTTCTTAAGACAACGGACATCTGTACGCTCAAAATAATAATAATAAAAATAAATACCGCAGTCCTTGACTTACAGCTATAATTGGGACCAGACATTTCTGTTGGAAAGCAAGACGGTCGCGCCTGATTTAATGGCCTTTTCTTGCCAGGCAGTTAAGCAAAATCACTGCACTTGTAAAGGGAAGCATGCAACTGGGATACTACAACCGTCATAAATGTGAGTCAAATTGTCAAGCAGCCACATGTAAATCAGGTGACTATGGGGATGCTGCAACGGTCATAAGTGTGAAAAACGATCATAAGTCCCTTTTTTCAGTTCTGTTAACTTCAAATGGTCACTAAGTGAAGTGTTATAACTTAAGGACTACCTGTACTTGTGGTGCTAATTAAAAACAAAACAAAACACATGCCCTAATAATAATCTATACAATTCTTGGTAGCATCAGGATCCTTTCTCAAAGAGACTATAACAAGGATTCCAGCAGGTCTCAGCTCAATGGCTCCATTATTCCGGGATTTTTCTGAACTGTAGCCCCTATAGCTCCCTAAATTTTAGTCCGCCATTTTCTCCACCAGAAAGTCCCAGATCCTCACTAGCTCATGCTTACCTTCTTCTGTCCTTCTACTGACAGGTTGTCTGCAGGCTGTGCAGAAGAGATATCGCTTCCTGGCTCCTCCTTGATTTTGGGGGGCTTGTTTTCCTTCCGGATTCGGGGCTTCACCACTTTGGCTTCGGCCTAGATCAGCAGAAAAGCCCATGAGGGGCACAGATGATCAGAAAACCCTCTTTGCTGGCCAATTTGGTGGACCTTCTCTTTATTTCTATCAATCCTTCCCTGTATAGAGTCTCTCATCTCACTGCATATTTCTGGGGCTCTGGAGAGTGACCAGCTTTAAATCTCAATGGGGAAGCTTTATCATGGATAGAGATGGTGCACCAATTGGGCCTCCTGGAATGTTTGCTTCTGCCCAGGAGCAGATGGCAGCTGTGACTGTTGGGGCCTTTGCATGGATTCAAACTATGCGCTAATTGTGCCCATTCATGGACAGGGAGGCCCCATTCGTGGTGACTCAAGTCCTCGTTGCTTCCCATTTGGAGGGCTGCAATGTGCTTCACCATGGGTTGTCCATATTTTCCACCACAAGGACTGGAAGCTTGGGTTTTGTACGCACTAGCTTCCCAAACAATGCATAGAATAAACCAAAGGGGCAAACTGAGCTTGCTTTTTGGCGGAACTGACCTCCTCTGTGTTTGTCACACTTTCCTTCCTTTTCTGGTCTCTTTTGATAAGTTTCAGCAGATAATCTACTCGTGTCTGGAGCTGCTTCCCCTGTGGCTTTTTATCGGTCTCAACTGGTAAAATCTGGGGATGGGTGGAGAAGGAATTTGGTTAGGCAAGCAAATGAATCCATAAAATCATTTGTATATCATATTTTGACATAGTGAAATGACATATCCAACTTCTCTCTAGGAGAAAGATCCAACTTGTATCATTATAATTTACCAGCTGACTCCAAACTAACTCTAGGCTGCTCAGAATATAATAAAAAAATAAAAGCACAATACTGCACAAAGCAGTATGGGTTCCAGTCAATCTATACAGAAACATATCCAACCAAGGGCTCCATACATCTTAACTTAAGATGGAATACCAAGATGGTTGAGAGCAACATGGCCTTCCAGGGAAATCTCATTCCAGAAGATAGATAGTATGACACACTTCCTGAGTTGCAATTGATGCATTGTTTAATTGAAGAAACTCAGAGCACACTAATTCTGCTGGCATATACAATTCAGGCAGAAATGATGGGATATATGGTTCCCCAAATAGCCTAGCTCTATGTTATGTAGGCCTTTGTAAATTATGACCAGCATAAAAGAGAGGTTTAAAGTCACTCATCTAACTTTGTGCCCAAGGCAGGACTAAAATTCACAGTCTCCTGATTTCTAGCCTGGTGCCTTAAATGACTAAACCAAACCAGCTCTCTGTTTTATGCATAAAATCAATGCAAAAAAACCATTGCTTATTCTGGACCATATAGATCCATGTAATCTTGTATAGCTCTATGTAACCCTAACTAGAGAGCACATATCAGTATGTTAGTAATAGGTCAATGGGAGGAGTTTCAAAGGGCATTGGGAGACTTCTTTGGGCACAAGCCAGTTTGGAATGTCTTTGTCTGAGAGAAGCATGGCCCATCAGATGTCACCCGATGAGCCTGTACTGCTATAGAGATGGTATGAAGGGAGAGCTTCATCTTTTTACCGATAGAAATGAACAGGAGATGTAATATCAGAGGCATTCATCATAAAGGCAAGTAACCTATCTGATTATAAATATATTTCTTGTTATGAAATCATTTCTTGGAGTGTCTATCTGATTTGATTTATGGAACGTTTTAAATCAAGGTCAGAATAGTAAAAAGATGAAGCTCCCCCTTCATACCATCTCTATAGCAGTACAGGCTCATCGGGTGACATCTAGGTCAGAATATTGCTTGTCAAGCAATGGCCACTTCTCCCCATATCCCCACATCCTGCAGAAGTCCCTTTTTCAAGCATCATAGTTTGGTGTTGCATCTATAAAGCTTCACCCACGTGTGAGGTTCCTTGTACCTTGTCGGTCAGGTTCAATTCTGGGTCTGATTTGATGAGCTCCCAGTTCCCACATCCGTGCTCGTAAATTCCCCGCAGCAAGCAAGAGTCCTCTTCCACTCCCCAGTCTGTATCGAAATGGGCAGATTTGACACGGCAGTTCAGATGGAACCTGCAAAATTGGAGGAAAAGACGGGCGAAAGATAAGAAACAATTCCGTGTGAGACGCCCCTTGTTAATAAAGTTCTATATCAGAACTGGATAAGACAAAGGAAAGGCAAAGTTAGAGGTATGTGTGAAAGCATGGTGACATTGTCTCTCTTAAACCTCTTCTCCCTAGCTGACCTAAGTTCCACTTAAACTGAGCAGAGGACCATTCCTTAAATTGCAAGGACCACCTGTAGAAAAAGACTCAAAAGATTTCAACTGCAGGAGACCTGCTGCTAATGTGGTAAATTATCCTGGACTGGACTCTTGGTCTAATCCAGCAATTCTCTTTGTTACATTCTCTTGAGTCAAAGTAATGGCTGCCTCTTCCATATTTATGTTCTAGAATCCATTTAGATCTCTCTTCACATGTATGATATTATCTTTTTCCAACGTAAAGGTCAACAGAGCATAAACAACAACATACTACCTAAGGGTCCATTTCCTTTAAGGACAACGTGTGATTTTTTTTTTCTCTTCAAATACCTTTTCTTCTTCTTTTTTGGACCACTCATGGCTGCTACACAAACACACACAGAGACACAAACACTTACATGGCGATACATGGTCATGCTTACTTTGCCCTCTCCACTGGGTCAGATGGAATGATCTGATGGAGCATCACAAACTCCTGCTCGTGCTGAATGATGGCTTTGACATTCACCTGGACTCCAGAAATCTTAATTGTGGGTCCCTTCCTTTTCCCTGGTCCTTTGCCTGAATAAAAGGAGCCACACAGAGTTTTCAGTCACAATCAGTTGGGGTGAGTTGGGAGTCGCATTTAAAGAGCACATCAGCACCTGAGACTTTAACCTGTTTCCATTTTGGGGCTAAAGTACCAGCCTGTTATTGTAGGAGAAAAGCAGGCAGAATTGCGGAGGGTTGGAGTTAAACATGTCATCAGTTTAGAATCCTTGCATTGTCACAAACAATCCAAGACACTCTCTCTTGAATTCTGTTGAACCTTATTTGGTGTCAATTTAGTACTGAACTTTAGTTGATTAGGTTCTTGCATAGAGGCTTGAATAAATATTTTATGCTGCAACTTAATATACAGTCCTGATACTTTGCACCTGACAGTGATTTTGAAAAAGGAGGACTAGTTTTGCTGCAGAGTTCAGGGACTTCTTAAGTATGAATTCTTCCTACGGTGCCGATTTTCTTTAAGTTCATAACCCTGGATTCTGAGCTAAGTCCCTGGGTTGACCACCACCCTTTTCCCATCAAAGAAAGCCCCTTTGCTCACTTTCAGTTGGGTTCTCCTTCAGATGCTCCTCATATTCCTGCATGGCTGATGCACAATTGTTATGGAGAAGTTCCCCCAAACGTTTCAGGTCAGCTACAGATTTGTCTACTAGTTCGGCATCCCGAGCGATGCATTCCAGTCTAAAAAAGGAGGAGATGGGATGTAATAAAGGTGCTGTACAGCAAATCAGGACCCTCCCCTCCAAGACATGCACAAATCAGACATTATTTTAAATCACTCCCAGAACATGGATGGACTAAGAGCAGCTACCGGAGAACAAGTCATAGCACCTTGGTGGGACGTCACTCCAAACACAATTAACAATGTATCCCACAGGTTGCATTCCTAGGTCCTGCTGATCTAACTGAAGACTTAAATGCAAAGATGAAGAATACTGAGGGAGCAGGAGAGGCAAACCTGCCCCCTAACCTCCTAGGAGGATGCAGGGATGCAGGTGGTGATGTCACTAAAAAGGATGAAACTGAACATAGCCTAGCAGGACCTAATTGATAGGACCAGCCATCTCCTGGAAGTGATTCTGCATGGTGCACAATGATTAAAACATAAAATCAAAACATGAAACCAAAGGCGCCTGAGGTTTGATCATCCCACCAATCCTCCGATGTCCCTACAGGTTTGATCATCCCACCAATCCTCCGATGTCCCACCAATCCTCCGATGTCCGATTTAGTAGACTGCACCTTCTCTCTAATCTGGCACTCACCGCTCCAAAGGAACACCAAACTTCTTGTAAGCCTTGATAAATCTGTGGAATTTAAACAGGGAGAACAACAACCGTTAGAGAGGATTGCTAAAGGCCTCCATTTTGTTTTCCCCTCTGTTTGTGGTTCTCGTCCCGCTCTCTTAAATTAAACCCGTCCAGATGCGCCCGGAATGCAACTCTCAAGTTGCCCAATATTTACTAAGTCAGGTTAAGCAAAGGGAGGCGGCAGAAGGTTTTTACATTATTTTCTTCCTTTGCTCTGGAGGCTCAAGACCACCGGAGTAATCTCCCCTCATTTCATCCCCACCAGGCCTCACTGTGAGGTAGGCCGGGCATCCCTCCCACCCATTCTAGTTCATCCTGGCTCTGGCAAATGATGAAAAACATATCCAGAAGAATCCCTGAGTCTCTCCCTGGTGCCAACCTTCTGATTTCGGTGTCTGTAAATCCTTCCACCGTGTCCTTCTGAGCGCTGCGAGGTCTCCCTCTGCGTTTGGGCCTTTTGTCATCATCTGATTCCTCTGTCTCGGTCTCCGAGCCAGACGATCTCTGTAGTTTTCTCTTTAGGTCAACATCCGAATCACTGTCATTGGGTTGAGCCTGCCAGGGCCAGAAAAAGCCCAGGGTTAGAGAGATCCTCTTTTCCAGAGGATGCAAACTGCAGGTCCTCCTCGACTTACAATAGTTCATTTAGCAACCATTTCAAGTTAAAATGGCACTGAAAAAAGGGACCTATGACCGTTTTTCCCATTTAGGACCGTTGCGGCATCCATTCCAGATGGTCATGTCATTTACACTCAGATGCTTGGCAACTGGTTCACATTTACAATGTTTGCAGCGTCCCAGGATCCTAAGTCAAGGACTTCCTGTACTTAGCAGCCCAAACACTCAATGCTCCATGAAGGGGTGGGAGACTTAAGCAAGAACAGCTGGAGTTTCACAAGGCCACCCGTTGCCTTGAGCCTGTGTGTTCCCAGGAACATGTTTGCCTGTGTGTTTCTCAGCACCCAACAAAGTGTGAATGTTCCCTTCTGCAAAGCTAAACATCTACTGTATCTCCAACAGAACCATCTACTTCTGAAGGGCCTCCATCCTGCTGGTGTTTTGAAGGGTTTTCTCCACCCAGGATGAGGTGTGATGTCTCCTGCTATGGGTCATACAGTACAAAAACCCTACCTTTTTGGCTGAGCTGCGAATTCTGGGCAGCATGTATATCTCGTCTATTTCCTTCTGTCGCTCCTCTTCTTCCACTTTCTTCCTCTGTTCCTCAGGAATGATGTTTTCCCAATCCTTTTGAGATTTTTCTTCCACCTTGGCTTCTTCCTCCTCCATTGTGGCAAAGTTTGCTACCTGGGAGGAGAAACAACCAGGCTTTCCATACTGGGCTTCCATATCACACCCTGGACATAAACGGTTTCAACCCCTCCCCTAGGGGCGCCACTATAGGGCATTGCATGCCAAAATAACTAGAAATAAAGACAGTTTTCCCCCTCGTGCCTTCACTCTGCTGAACACCTAATGACCACAGAACTGTCTTATTTCTAAGGATATTTAACCATGTAGTAAAGCTGTATTACTATTATCCTTCTCGTCTTTTCTACTATCTTCTCCTGTTAGTCTCTTATGATTATATTATGTACACTGCATGATTATGCACTAGAGACAAATTGGCTAAAGGAGATTCTTCTTCTTCTTCTTCTTCTTCTTCTTCTTCTTCTTCTTCTTCTTCTTCTTCTTCTTCTTCTTCTTCTTCTTCTTCTTCTTCTTCTTCTTCTTCTTCTTCTTCTTCTTCTTCTTCTTCTTCTTCTTCTTCTTCTTCTTCTTCTTCTTCTTCTTCTTCTTCTTCTTCTTCTTCTTCTTCTTCTTCTTCTTCTTCNCTCCTCCTCCTCCTCCTCCTCCTCCTCCTCCTCCTCCTCCTCCACACTCCTTTTAATTGCACTGCTAATGCTACAAATTCCAAGATCTTTGATGCTCCTTTTCTGGGCCTGTACCTTAAACTGGGAAAGCAGTTCGTCGGTTGCACTTGTGGACGGTTCGTTCTCTCGTGTCTCAGCCAGGCGTAAGATTTCCTCAATGTCCATTTCCTGAAAGCAGGGGCAAGAGTGCAGTCAGAAACACACCAGTATGAAATATTACATTTGTCCTTCTAAAGTTCTGATATGAAAACGGATTGGATTGAGTTAAATGTCTGTCAATTACAAATGACATCCCAAGAAGAACCGAGGTAATCTCCACCCAGAAATATGGATCCGAAAACTCACCTGTGGTTCAGATTCTTCCCCTTCTGCTTCTTTAAAAAGGTCTTCGGCTCCAAACTTCAAGATGGCGGTCAGTTCCTCCTTGTTGAATGGGTTTGTACTAAAAAAAAACAACATGAAACCACTGGCTAGAACAAAGGTTTCCAGTTCACAAGTACTTGGACCATATCTTAGCTCACTTTTCCAGGATCTCAAATAATCTAGTTCCTCATCCTTATCCCTTGGTAAGAAAAATTAGCCAATTTTCAATTCTAAGTGGCTAAAATAATTCTTGTTGTCTTTTTTAAAATCAAACAGTCAATGTTACAACTAAATTGTATTTTTTTTTACAAAAAGAAAAAGACAGCAACCTTAGCATAAAGCATGTGTTTAGGTACTGAACAGTTCGCCACAATTAATAACCCTAAATCTTATCACCTTCCCAGATTAACATTTAAAGGGTAGCATAAAAGAGCCACCTTGATCAGCACACCAAAAGGCCCATCTCCTTACTTGGATCTGTCAGAGCTATTGTCCAAAACCGTCCGTCCGGTGGTATCCATCCGTTGTATCACGAGATGGTCCAGCACCATCTTCTTTTTCGCTCTTTCTATAATCTCTTCTTCCACTGTTCCCTTTGTAACCAAGCGATAGATATTTACCTGCAGAATCCAGGGGATGCGTGAAATAGCTATAATCCATCGAAAAATAGGGACCACGTCGGTTCCACTCCGCGTCTTTAGAGAAAAACCTGGAGAGGGATCAAGTTACTAAGTGGACTAGTTCCTGATCGTACGACGTTTAGTTTTCGATGGCCGAAGATTGTGGAATGTTATTTTGGTCTTAAATAGGGTGGTCCTAATAAATAGAAACCCGATCAACTACAGCGAAAAAGAGCCGTGTCCACCAAGGCAGCCCCTTTAGGGGAATTTCTGAATCTCCAACTTCCAACGCCACCCCCTCCAGCCCCCAAATTCCCTCTATTGATATTATTTAACCTTGCTGCTCACTATTTCAAAAAACGACGAAAGAAATAACCAGAGTTTTTCTTTGCCAGACTATCCAATCTGGAAAGGCAGGATCTGAAAACCTGAACACCTGAACTGGGTCAACTGATGAAGAGCCACACATAAAGTATGTCTGCTCCACAATTTTCCCAAATTCAAAATGGCCAGTAGGAAAGCTCCCCCCTATAACTGCCTTTGTCCCTGGGTGGCAGACAGCCAATCCAGTCTATGCTTAAGGTGTTGGCCTAGAAACCAGGAAACTGGCATTTCAATCCCATGAAAGCCAGTTGAATGACTTGGGACCAGTCACTCCTTTTCAGCCCAACCAACCTCACAGGGTATTGTGGGGGAAAACAGGAGAAGTATTTAAGTAGAGGACTGGAGACCAAGGCAAACCAATAACAGTTGCAGGAATTGGCTGTGTGTAGTTTAATGAAAAGAAGGAGCTGTGTCCCAATATCTAAGGGGTTGCTACAAAGAAGAAAGGGTCAACCAGTAAATCTCTGGTCCTGGTGACTGACCCAAATTTGATTTCGGGTCAACCTATTCTCCAAAGCACCTGAATGCAGGGCAAGAAGCAATCGATGGAAACTAATCAAGGAGAGAACAAACCTCGAAATACGAGGAAATGTCCTGACAATTAGAACAATTAATCAGAGGAATGATTTGCCTCCAGAAGTTGTGGGTGCTCCAACACTGGAGGTTTTTAAGAAGAGCTTGGGCAACCATTTGTCTGAAATGGTATAGGGCTTTGTGCCCGAGCAGGGGGTTGGACTAGAAGACCTCCATGGTCCCTTCCAACTCCTGTTATTCTGTTCATCCCTAATCCCCCTTGCTAGGAACTGAAGTCCACCCCATCTGCAGAAGACCTAAAGGAAGAGAAGAATGTTTCCCACTAACTTGTTTCTTTTGCCCAATCCGGTGAGCCCGAGCCTGGGCCTGCAGGTCATTCTGGGGGTTCCAATCCGAATCAAAGATCACCACCGTGTCAGCCGATGCCAAGTTGATCCCCAGGCCGCCGGCTCGCGTGGAGAGTAGAAAGATGAAGTCCTAAGGACACGTGACAAAGGGAACACACATTAGACCTGCATCTGCAGAGGTCCAGGAGGAGCATCAGCAAAGTCCTGGTCAAGGGCCAAGAGTTGTGGGCACAAGGGTTACGTGCCAGCAGGGCATCTCAAGCAGATGGGAGGGAGGCACGAAGGGTAGCGCCACAACTACACGCCTTCTACACCAGGTACAGATAATCCTCGACTTACAACAGTTCATTTAGTGACCGAAGTTACAACGGCACTGAAAAAAGGGATTTTACAAGCGTTTTTCACACTGACAACCGTTGCGGCATCCGCAGGGTCACGTGATTTACATTCAGGTGCTTGGAAGTGGTTCACATTTACGATGGCTGCAGAGTCCCGGGGTCGTGCGATTCCCTTTTGCAAACTTCTGCCAAGCCAGATCAATGGGGAAGCCTGATTTTGCAAGGCCCACTTAACAATTGCCTTGTTTAGCAATGGAAATTCTGCATGCCCCCCCCCCCCATTGTGTCGTAAGTCGAAGACAGCACGTGGCTCCAAAATTAACTTTCCGGTTATCTACGTGCCAATTCAACCCCATTAATTTTTGTCATTTTAACAGAGACTTCTCTGTATCACTTTGGGAATTAAAGCCCTATTAAACTCAGTGGGATTTTCTTCCTTATAAACCAATCACAGATCACTCTCTTTAGTCCCGTTGAGAGGAGCAAAAAGTACCAAGAGGTTTTGGTGTTTTTTTTTCTGGAGTAAGCTTCTAATTGGCCCGGGATGTCTCTTTTTCTCTGTGTCGCCAAGTTCTCTCTTTCTCCAATAAGGCAGCCAGCAGAAGTGTCAACAAAGAGTACAGAGAAGAGCAACAAAGACGATCAGGGGACTGGAGGCTAAAACATATATAAGGAACGGCTGCTGGAATTGGGTATGTTTAGTTTAACGAAGAGAAGGACGAGGGGGGACATGATAGCAGGGTTGCAGTATCTCAGGGGCTGCCCCAAAGAAGAGGGAGTCAAGCTATTCTCCAAAGCGCCTGAAGGCAGGACAAGAAGCAACGGATGGAAACTAATCAAGGAGAGAAGCAACCTAGAACTAAGGAGAAACTTCCTCACAGTTAGAACAATTAACCAGTGGAACAACCTGCCTCCAGAAGCGGTGAATGCTCCAACACTTGAAGTTTTTAAGAAGAGACTGGACAGCCATTTGTCTGGAATTGTATAGGGTCTCCTGCTTGAGCAGGGCGTTGGACTAGAAGATCTCCAAAGTCCCTTCTAACTCTGTTATTTTATTATACTGTTTAGGAGACTAAGAATGACAGGATAGCGGTCTTCCAGTATCTCAGGGGCTGCCCCAAAGAAGAGGGAGTCAAGCTATTCTCCAAGGCACCTGAGGGCAGGACAAGAAGCAACGGATGGAAACTAATCAACGAG